CCCCCCCCCCCCCCCCCCCCCTCCATCCCTTTCGACTTTCATTTCGAATCGTAGTAGTGATTTGAATGTTGTGTGGCCTGTGCAATGATTGAAGCCAGTCGATGTACAAAGTTACCAATTGGCCGACCTCGGTGGGATAGAAGCCATGGTTGTTTTGGGCGATTATCGATCCGAGCTTGGATGCCCGTACCATGCGTATGTAATAGTGCTCGCCTTGCCACAAGGCATTTTCCCCTACTAGTAATAGAGTTATCCTTAAAATTATGCTTTCTTCCTTAATTTCTGCTCGAACAAATTTTATAGCCGAATATTAACAAGTAACCAGTTTTGAAAAGGAATATTTCAGGAAACGATGCTTTGACAACGACGTTTTCCGTAAGTGTCTACATGTGTTCTCATCGATTGACGGCAAAGATTTGAAATCACGAAGTGTGGCTGAATAAAGTGCTGATCGATTCGTTGAAAGCATTATGATCATTGTTATTACAATAACATCGTAATATTGATAGTAAATTTTGAGTTACTCTTTTCATTTCTCTTTTTCCTTTTTCTCTTTCTGTTTTTTTTTCATCTGTCTATGATCTCAAAAATTTTATCTTACGTCAAGTGTTATGGAATAACGTATCGATTGTGACACAGAGTACGCTGTTAGTGTTAAATCATCCCACTGGTGCCATATTATGTTTTTTTCGTCCAAAAAAAATGTACAAGGTACAAGACGACATATTCATATGTATATGCTCCGCCTTGATTACAGATGATTTCATTCACTGTCTACCCCACAGAATAACGTCGTCATTCTTTCTATTAATCATTCCCCACAGAAAAAAATATGTCTAGAAAATTCCGTCTTCATTCCTTCACTCTGAATAAATATGCTTCTTAATTAGCGAACCGACGCAGAGGCAGTGGAGGGATTTACTTTGAGGCTCAATTGTAGATAGATCTGAGGCAATTCATTTATCCTTTGCTTTTACCTGAATCACTTACCAAAATGATGCGTAAGAGCTGGGACCCTTCAATGACTAGTTTCCTTATTGGTAGGACGCTCCCCTAAATGGACAGTTGCATCGAAATAGAAATCCACGCGAGACAACTGTCAACTACGGTATCAGGCACCTCCGCCCAGCTACCCTCAAATTCCGCCCTCACCGTCTACAGCAATTATGCAGCCGATATTCGTTAAACGAAATATGGTGATTATTCAAGAAGCTCTATAGGAAAAAACAAAAGCTGTGAGATTATCATTCTGTCGTGAAGAAAAATTAAAGGGCTCGAAAACTGCCATAAAAAGACCAGCTTCCTTCAAATTCCAGGCTTGGCCTGCTTTCAGGGTGTCATGAACAGAAGGTTCCGTAACCCAGTTTTCAGGTTCCATGGATACCAGAGCTTACTCTCCAAATTACCTAGCAACAGTAAAATGCTCAATCGCTCCTCTTTCTCAAAATTCTAACTATTGGCAATTAACTCTAGACTACT